AATAATAATTAAAACGATCTATTAATAATAAAACAAAACAATCAGAATATTAATAAATATTCATATTCATATTAAAGTACTAAATAATAGCTATTGATTATTAAAACATTAATACTAGTTAAATAAATGAAATAATTAATAACAAATAAATTAATAATAATTAAAACGATCTATTAATATTAACACAAAACAGTAAGAATATTAATAAAGTATTAAATAAGAATACATATTAGCTGTTTATTAATTTTACCAATATTATTTATTTCATTTTATTTTGATACTAATTACATCAAATGTAATGAATAATAAAGTATATAATAATAAATTAAATGTTCAAATAATATTAGTGAAGTATTAAAAATAGTAATGTCAGCTATTATTAAAAATATTAGTTCTAATTAAATAATAAACAATTAAAAATTAATAAACAATAAACAAATTAAATAACAATAAAATAATAAATTCATATTAACACAAAACAACACAGATGTTAATAAATAATATTATTAACATTTATAAAGTATTAAAATAAGAATTGCCGTTAGCTGTTATTAAATTTGATTATTAATCATAAATACTAATAAATAAATAATATTTATAAAATTTTGTACTTGCCATTTTAAATTCTTTTTTTTTTAAAGCAAATGAGTAGGGATGTAACGATTCACTCAACTCATGATTCGATTCGATTCACAATTTTGATTTCACAATTTTTTTTAACAAAATGAGATTTAAGACAAATTATAAATTAAATGTGTCCTTTTATTATTTCTTGGACAAAATACTGTACTTTTTTTGTGAAATTGAAATATAACACTATAATAATATACAATATAGCACTTGTAAATTATTGCTCTTTTGTTGGTTTTGATTGCTTCTGTTGTTCTCATTTGTAAGTCGCTTTGGATAAAAGCATCTGCTAAATAACAAAATTTAAATATAATGTAAATGTAAATAACAAAACTAAATTGAAATTTTAAAACAAGCCCCAAATCATCTGCATTTTAATCAGGATCCTAACAAAGATGCAGCATACATGCAACATTAGCAGTTTTTTAATCTAAATTAGATTGTATAATTTCGAAATTTGAAGCAAAAACAGAATGGTTTGAATTCAGTTTTGTAAAACTAGGCATAAAAAATATCTGCATGAAACCGAAACAGCAGACGAGCTGAATGAGACGCAGATGCACTCTCTGCCAGCAGGTGGCGCTTAAAGCATTTCCTTGGTTTCTGCTGTAAACAAAGCAGCGCTGCACTTATGAACTTCAATATGCATTATACAGAGGCAAGATGAAAAGAAAAAATGCCATCTAAACTTTTCTAAAGACTGTAAGTTCCCCTCAGACATAAATTCACGTAAACTAATTTCCTAATTGAATTGCGATTTGTTTAGCATCTCAACCGATTTGAATCGTCACATATTTAAATCGATTTTCAACTGGCTCGTGGTTAATCGTTACATCCCTACTAATGAGTCATGCTTTGTCTTTTTGTGGTTTTGAGCCTTTTGGTTTGGTGACCTGTAGCCCCACACACATTTTTCATCGCATGCTGGTCTAGATGTTGATGGCTGCTGAATGCGGCCTGTGTTTCTCCTCACCTCATTATGCCGTGCAAACGCATGTATTTATATTAAGAAGAGTGGCATTTCTTGTGCTGTTTCTGGCGTTACGTTGTTAGTTTTTTCGTTGGTTTGTCCTGGTTAGGTTGCTCACAGCAAGGTACCGGCTAGATGTGTTTCTAGAAAAGGGAAGTGTGTACAAGCGTGTGTTTCTCTAGCGTGTGAGGCTGTGCACTAGCAGTGGCTTGTGTCGCTCGGCTCACGAGATCTGAGGAAAAGCTGATTAGCTGCTGATTATCTGCTGTGACGCAGCAGTTAACTCCATCCAGATGCCTGCACTGCTCTCAGGACAAAACACGATGACCCAGCTCTCTGCTTTCATTAAGTGTGGCCAACAAAAACGCTGCTTTAATGATTGTTGAGCATGCCATTTTGGTGCCTCAGAGAGTTCAATGACTCATTAATAGTGTTAAATCAAGGTTTTTTCAATTCACTAACAACATCTAAGAAACGCTACATAGTAGGGGTGTAACGAGTCACTCATTTTCTTGATGCAACAATTACAAATCCTACTTTGAAAACAATGGATTTTTCAATCGTGAATCATTTGCTTCAGTCAAGAAAATGTGCTCACCCTCAGGCGGTCCGAGATGTAGATGAGTTTGTTTCTTCATCAGATTTGGAGAAATGTAGCATTGCATCACTTGCTCATCAATGTATCCTCTGCAGTGAATGGGTGCCGTCAGAATGAGAGTCCAAACAGCTGATAAAAACATCACAATAATCCACACCACTCCAGTCCGTCAGTTAATGTCTTGAGAAGAGAAAAGCTGCATGTTTGTAAGAAACAAATTTATCATTAAGGAGTTTTTAAAGGTCACATATTTTACACATTTCTGGAGTTTTATTTTAGGTTTTGATGTGCTTAAGAATATATATTTGCGGTATAAGTACCAAAAAACCATCTCAATATATTTTTAGGTAGATTTTGGCCTGTCTAATTAATATTCATGAGCATCTCTTCTGATTGGCCTGTTGTTTTCTGAGTGATGCACGGCCAGGCCAACCACAGGTAACTAGGGTCAGCTGACGTCACAGCGCTAGCTGGAGGCAGCAAAACAAAGGGGAAAGTGGAGGCGGCCCATTCAAACCAGCGCAGATTCGGCTACACAAGCTTAAAATATCATCGTGTTGTGATGTTGGGTGCCAGAATCTACGTAATACAGCCTCAAATTAGAAATTTGATCACATATCTGCTGCCACTGCCAGACAAAAAACCGACGACAGCTGTGGTTAAACGTGATAAAACGAGACTGGACAGAAACGATCGACAAAAATGCAGCGTTTGCAGCGCACACTTCTTATCAGAAAAGGTTCAATAAAGTATTGTCTTTTATTGTTATGGGCGCGTCTACAGATTTCTTGCCATATGTCTATGTTTCTTGCATCTCACGACTATGTCGTGTATGAAATAATGTCTGTGTGCATGAGTGTAAAACAACAAACTGACGATTCATATATAATCATTTGTTTCCTGCTGAAATTGAAATGTATATACATCTTCATCATGACTAGATAGACACGGTGAGTTTGTCTTTACTACACACGTTAGATGTGATCACCTCATAGTAACAATCCTGTCAGATCGTCCATCCTTTGATTGAGAGTGTAACGTTAGTATGGTGTAAAGTCAGCCGATCTGGTTTCGTGGTTAAAGTTAAACTTTTCGACATGTTTTCTTTACTATACACGTTAGATGTGATCCACCTCATAGTAACAATCCTGTCAGATCGTCCATCCTTTGAGTGAGAGTGTAACGTTACAGGTCGGCCGATCTGGTTTCGTGGTTAAAGTTCAACTTTTCGACATGTTTCTGTGTTGTTGTTGCTCAGCGATGGCATGGACGCGATTTTGTCTGGGGGTTTGGCAAAAGGAGAGTGGGGATGGCATGGACGCGATTTTGTCTGGGGGTTTGGCCAAAGGAGAGTGGGACAGTGGGCGGTGCTCGGGGTGGTGACTGAAGGCGTTGACTGTAGTTCTGACGTCAACTTTTTACGGAAGTCACAACGGTTCGTGAAAAATCACAGCTACTTTATGCAGGCTGTGTGCATTTTACTGTGGACTGACTGTTTTGAAACTTATATGGTATAGTTACATAGCACCTAAACCTCAATTATCGTGAAAAAAGCCAGGAAATTTCAGTTTTGACAATATGGG